TACCTCGACTTGAGACCAACTCGATTTGCAACCAGAGTCACAGAACGGATTAAGTTCGTATCCCGAGGTACCACTGTATTTGCCCACTGTAAATACAAGTCTGTTGGACTATCAGCTGTGTTTGACTTGTTATTTACCACTGTGCATATCTACTGGTTTAGTAGATATCTTCTCCAAGCCTATCCCCTGATAGGTTATGGGCCCAGGCACAAGTGTGAGCTAAAAGGCTTGGTCAAAGTTCCAGGTTGATACCTAGTAGAACAAGTAGAATGTCTTGCTGTTTTTGCTCCAGGGAAAAAGTTTTAATAGTCTGTAGGAGATGGCAGCTACAGCCCTTATGCAGCTACCTCTCACATCCCTGAATGAGCAAAATTATTTGACATGGGCTGTGAAGATGGAAATGTTCCTCAAGAGAGGAGGTTTGTGGACTATAACAAATGTACCTCCTGTTGATGCATTAACCCCAGCCCAGGAGAGGGACAATGTGAAAGCACTGGCAAGCATTATTCTGGGCATAGAGGATTCACAGCTGATGCATGTGAGAAGGCTGGATTCCGCCCACGAATGCTGGAATGTTTTGTGGTGGCTTTATGTGCGTGACTCCGTTGTCTCTAAAATAAGTTTCACGAGAAAGCTGTACAGGACAAGGATGTTGCCTGGTTCCAGTGTGGCTAACCATCTACAGCTGATGCAATCAATGTTTATTGAGCTGGAAGAAAGAGATGTGTTATTTCCAGAGCTCCATAAAGTTTTTATTATTCTCTCGTCTCTTCCTGAAGTCTTCGACAACCTAGTAACATCTTTAGAGTCTCTCCCACAGCAAGAGTTAACTCTAACCTTGATAACAAGTCGGTTATCAAAGTATCAAAAACTGCAGTTCAGGATGAGGAGGGGGCGTTTTCTAGCATCAATGTAACAAAGCGTTTTCGCTGTGGATCTTTTTCCCATTTACAATGAGCCTGCACTTCCCGAGCTAAAGAAAGACAAGGGGTGGAGGAGGAGTTGGAAAAGTTCTCAAGTCTCTGTCATTCATCCAATGGAAGAAAAAGTTGACAATCATTGGCTTCTTGACAGTGGAGCTAGTCATCATGTCTGCCGAGTTCGGACCTTGTTTACATCTTTGGGACCAGCCCAGTAACCTCAGTGAAATTGGCAAATGGTGTTTGTGCCAAAGTTGAGGGTGTTGGGACAGTGTTTATACAAGAACTTGGTGAGTCTTTAGAAGACGTATTGTTTGTGCCTCAGTTAAATCACAGTTTAGTATCTGTTTCTGCATTAGACCAGAAAGGGTTTAGTTTCTTTTGAGAAAAGTATGTGTACTATATATAAGGAGCAAACCCAGTTAGCACAAGGTACCATGAAAGGTGGTTTGTATGTATTAAACACACCTATATCTGCAAATGCTGCACAAACAGTGTTTGGTAATAAGCCAGAGCATGATAATTGTATTCACCTGTTGCATAGACGTTTAGGGCATGTAAGTTTTAGGGTTCTACAGAAAACAGTGGAGAACTCATATGGATTAAACTTAAACAAATGTTCAGCTTATTTAGACTGTGCCGTTTGTAAGAAAGAAAAATCCAAGGCCAGTCCAGTGTGTAAACAAAGTGAAAGAGTAACAATTCGACTGTTTGAGCTATGTTTTGCTGACTTAATAGGGCCTTATCCAAAGTCCTATGGTGGTGCGAGATATGCTCTAGTAATAATAGATCATTATACACGTTATACTTTTGTGTATATTTTGAAAGCAAAAGAACAAGCTACAGCGTTTATCCAGGAATGGGTTAACTTTGTTGAAAGAAGATATGCATGTTTAGTAGGACAGCTGCAAACAGATAAGAGGTTTGGAATTTACAAATTTAAAGCTACAGAAATGGTTAAAAGCCAAGGGAATACGCCACAGATTATGTAATGTGGCAACACCAGCAGAAAATGGCATGGTGGAAAAGAAAAATGATGCTTTACAACAAATAATGAGATGGTTATTAGCTGATGCTGGTTTAGGAAAAAGTTATTGGGCTGAA